TTTAGGACTAGATAAAGACTTAAGGGCAGCTTACTCCAGAATACCCAAACCTAAAAGAAAATTTATTTATTAACATGACAGAATTATCTTAGATAGTATGAACATCATTCATAAAGGAGATAAATGATAGAAAACAGAAAGAGTTCTTATGTTCAGTATGTCATACAAGTTGTTAAAGGAAAAAGGACTAAATCTAAGATCAATAAAGATATTAGAAGAAACTGTAATAACTCTTCTGGATTTTTCTATAAATATTAGTTTTATATTAGAAAGTTTAGAAAGACCAAACTGTCTAAAAAAATATATTCTTGCATACAGTGCTATTGTCAGACCAAGCAAAACTTATTTTCTTTTAACCTTTCTCACAGGCTTGGAAAAGAATATGCTAGAATCAGTCTTGAAAAGGCCCAAAAGTCAATTCTTAACAGTTATTTTGGGACCAAAAAAACTTGGGACCAGGTTTTGGACCTAGAACCAGGTTTTGGACCCATAGAACCAAAATTATGAACTTTCAGAAGACACTTTTTTGCTGAATATTTTGTGCTTTGAAATTGTATTGATTTGTTGCACCTTTCTTCTGATTAAAAAATATAAATTAAATTATTTGTAACCTATTTTACTACAACAAAAAGTATTTCAATTATTAAGAGGCCAGCTGATCCAAACAGAAGATTGAGAGAGACACAGTCGAGCACCGCTCTGGCTCCAAGCAGGCCATATTCAGCCGGAAGCAAACTATGAAGTGACTGACTGCTTTGATGAATCACCCCACCTAGTCTGTGTCTGGAAAGAGCGTTTCAAAAAGTAAGAAAAACTCCTATGCCTTATATGTAGTTGGGTCTCCAGCCCTGGTCTTGGAAAAGGCCCTATGTAACCTTGCTTCCTCATAAGACAGAAGGTGAAAGCTAAGAAGTCTCCTCTCTTCTTAATCAATGTCCCAAAGATTTCAGCTTAGAGGCTGCGGAAAAGGCAAGCGTTTGTACTCCGTGGAGGTCACAGCCTTAACAGCAATAGTCTCTCCTTCTGAATCCTCACATCCACTTTCTCACTCTGCCTCCACTAGAGTTCTACCTGAGACCTTTAACCCACAATTAATACATAACGACTGTGTACCTACGATGTACCTAAGAATGTGCTGTCATTGAATATTTGCATGAAAGTACATTTACTCAGCTTGTCACCCTGAAAGCCACACACAAAAATAAATCTAAAATGTCAGTGGATAATCTCCCACTTCAGGGAAATGTGGGCACTGTCATGCCCACAAAATCTATGCCATAAAGCCAACCCAAAGGTACTGCACAGTCTAGGTTGCATCAGGTTACCTGCCTCACAGCACAGCTCCTCTAAAGATATCCTCTGCAGTAACTCAGAGGTGAAGACAATAATCTTAGAACTGAAACTTTGAATGGTTAACTTGGAGACAGATCATGGGAGAGACAGGGAAAGTTCCTGAACATGAGCAGTGCTGCATCACAAAACAGGAGAGAGCAGAAAGAACTACAGGAGCAAACATGACATCTTGCCGTTCCTGTGGGATGACCCAGTTGCTTATCTAATGGAAGTAGGTGGAGGTGGAGAAAGGAGAGGAAACAGTTATGGGCAGAGATCAGTAAAGAGTGCTTTGCTCTTAACTGTCATATGCTTGGAATACTGAACAACAAAGGGAAAAGAAGTGTAACTTTGGGGAGGGAGGAAGATTTCAAGACGAGACACCCTAAGGACACGAATGGATAACCATGACTTACACCACATTGATAGCCTCTCAGTGTTAGCATCACCCCATCACCTCTTCTACACACACACACACACACACACACACACACACACACATGTTTGTCAATTAACAGTTAGTCCCATTCAGAAATGAGGACTCAATATAAAAAAGGAAAAACATGGAGAATGTGACCAGGAAAATAACTACAACCCATTAGATGTCACATAGGACAAATTTGTGTCTCCCAAATATTGAAAAAGTAAATTTTGAGAACAAAGGAGCTTAAAAGTAAGGTTTGTTGATAGAAAGTTCCTAAGAAATAGGAGGGGTCCTAAAAATGAGTTGCTGTGGAGGCTCTCTCTCCAAGAATATTTTATACAGCAAAATTGCAACATGGGTAAAACTATAACTGGCCAATAGGATTACAAGTAAAGTCATTTCACTAATATTAATCCAACAGGGAAGTGAGACCCATAGCAAGAATATATGGCTAGCACCATTGTTTTAGCTTATCTATAATGTCTAATAGAAAGAACAAAGGCAGTACTGGAAGGGGTTGAGAATATGGGCCTGATGTTCTAGTCCAGATGTTCTGGTAACCCACCTATGCATCCAATGCCTTATCTGGATTTACTGGTCCAGATGGTCCTAATTAAAGTATAATCTCAAACTGCTGTTTATCTCCAGGGAGGATGGAGGCCTGACTATCGCATCTCGATCTTGAGGTCTTGCCCTCTTCAGATGCACCTGCAGCCACAGCTTCATGTACCTTCATCTTCTGCACTAACTCCCTCAATGGCCCCATCCCTTTCTGACTGTCTATCAGTTTCTATCTAACTTGGCTATCTAGAATGTAAGAGACAAATAGATCTCCTTGGTGTCATAGAAAAGATCCATAAAATTATTTAGAATTTCCCCTAACCTTCTTCCCATCAAAGAACACTTCAGAAAAGAGCTTATTAGACTTCAGAAGAATATCATAGGCAAGTAGGCAAAGATAAGGAAACAAAAAAAGAGAAAAACAAAAACACTTCAGAGATGAAAGTTATCTTAGAAGAAATGTGAAGAAAGGAACATACATGATGGAAAATGCCTTTGGGCCAGAATAAATGAGTCTGAGAAAATGAAATGAAATAAAATGGAAATGAATAATACATAAATAATAAAAGAAAAAGTAATCATACGAAAGGTAGACAACAGACGCTTAGCTTATATGTATTTGATAGGGGAGGCAGTAGTAACCGAACATAGGGCCTCTGCCCTGAGCTACATTTTCAGTCGTTTTTATTTTTTATTTTGAGATAGGGTCTAGCTAAGTCACTAATTACACAGATTGGGTTGCAACTTGTGATCCTCCCCCCTCAGCCTCCAAGAGTGCTGTGATAATAGGCCTGTGTCACCAGTCTTGGCTGCACAATTGTTCTTATTTTATTTTAAAGAGAAAAGGACAAAAACAAAATAACAAAAACAAAGGCAAAACAAAACAACACAAAAACAGAAAATGATACAGAATTTCAAAACAAGATGATAGGAAATCAACAATGGTTGCTGTATTACTTATTGTTATCCTCAAAGTAGTTGCTCAGATTACCAGATATAGGCATGCAAGATTGATCAAACAATTAAACATTAAGTTCTTTCAATAAACCAATAGAAATTACTAGTACAATTATCTTAGCTGTCTTTGTGTCTGTGTGTGCATATACATATATATATGTATATATATGTTTCCTTATCTTCTTTCTTTTCTTCTTTCCTTCTTCCCAGTTGTTCTTTCCTATTGAACAGTTTCTTTCTCTTTTACAGTATCTATTGTACCTCTCAGTTTTATTTACTCTTTCAGGTTCTTACAGTAGGGAGACAATATGGTGTTTACACATGTGGGTCTGATTTATTTCACTTTTTAGAGTGGTCTCTAGTTGCATTCATTTTCCTCTAAAAGCTTCAAGTTTATCTTTCTTTATACCTGAGTACTATTTCATTGTATACAAATACCACATTTTTCTTATCCACTCCTCAGTTGAGGGCATTTGGGTTGTTTCCAAAATGTTGCTATGACAAATGGCTGCACAACTGTTCTTGAAGAAAGAACAGAAGAAATGGAACAGAAAAAACAGAATACAAAGATGTCATCCATGAAAGTTTCCCTATCTCTGTGGTGGGCATTATAGGATACAGTGCAGGCCAGGAGTGGATGAGTTACAAGAATGGGAATAATTCCTAGATCAGATAAAGATAAAGCACGGCATAGAGACGGAGTTGCATATTTATCACACAAATTATACTGTGATCTTTTTGTAAAAAGACTGCATTTTAAAGTCATGGAACACAGAATAAATGTGAAATTCTTTACAGCAACAAAACCATAAGATGAAGATATACAGTCCTCATGATGGGGAAGGGATAAAACTCATGGTCAGATAAGGATCATGATAAGGTGTGGTAGAGAGAGATGGATATTTAGTACCTGCATTTCAGCTAGACTTCCTCATTCCTGACAATTTTTAGAAAAGACTGGTTTTCTTCAGGGTTTTTGTTTTTTGCTTTGTGGAGGGTTTTATTTGGTTGTTTGGTTGTTTTTTTGGTTTTGGCTTTTGGCTTTGGTTTAGGGGTTTTATTTTTTTGAGACAGGTTCTTGCTATTTAGCTCAGGCTGGCCTTAAACTCACTACATAGCGCAGGCTGGCCTCAAACTCACTGCAGACTCCTACCTCAACTTGCCAAGTGCTGGAATTACAGGTGTGTACCACCACGCCCAGGTCTAGGAAGTTTAATTGTCCAGATATATTATGTTGCTAAGCTTGCCATACCAAAAGTTCCACAGACTGAGGAGGTTTGGACAACAGAGATTTATTTCTTCACAGTAGTGGAGGCTAAAAGTCCAAGAACAAGCTGTCATCAGGGTGGGTGTCTTCCAAAAGTTGTAAAGCACCTGTTCTAGATCTTGCTCCTTAGTTTATAGATGGCCACCATCTCCCCATGTACATTATCTTCCCCTGTACGTGTCTGTGTACAAATTTCCCATTCCATAAGGACATCAGTCAGATTAGATTCATACCCATCCTAATAACTAAATGTTTGCTTATCCCTTTAAATACCCTATTCGGAGGTCTTGATAGTTAAGACTTGAACATACGAATTGCAGGGACACAATTCAGCTCATAATGGCTTGTAACACGTGCCTATTTGCCAGTGTCCGTGTCTTTGTTCTTTTTTTCTTGTTGCTGAAACAAAATACCAGACACCCAAATTTAAGGGAGGAAAGGTCCGCTCAGCCCAGTCTTCAGAGTTTTCAGTCCATAATCAGCTGGCTCCAAGGGTGGCCTGGCAAAAGAGAACAGTTCATGGAAAAGAAACAAGTGATGGTAATAGCATATTTCTGCCCCCTTTACCTTATCTAGACCACTTAGGGAAGGTAGCACTCACACCCTTAATCCTAATGCTCCTGAGTTTAGCATTGTACCATGAATCAATTCCATTGTCACATAATCTAGATCAAGCCACTTCTGGAAAACCCCATCTAGGATGGCATGAGGCTTGGAGTGGGGAGGAGGCATCTAAACACCAGCCATAACACTCTGTTTAACCAAATGTTGGTGTCAGACCAATCTCTGAAATCAAAGCATAGGGTCAACCCCTTCAAACCTCACAGACTAGGACTTCTGGAGGAAGATTCCCTAAAGAGATGATACGGAGACAAATGACAAACTTGGTTGGTGGCATAAATCTAACTACATGTTACTATTATAAAAGAAGTGCTTCTCCAAATATGGATAGCCATAGAACAAACAAAAAACACTTTTAGATTTGTCAAATTTAAGGAGGACAGTAACTGAAATTAAAAACTGAGTTTGCTTTCAGACACTTAGCTACTAACAATGACCTTACACTGAGCAGCTACTGTGTGCAATGTAGTACCCTATCAATCCTATTTGTTCCCTTTCAAATAATATTCATGGAAATCCAAGAAGACAAAATGTTTTCTATATTTTAAAAAGAGAAAACCGAGGATCTAAGAGACTATTTAATTTGACAAAGCTTGCACAGTTAACAAGTAGCAGCACTGAAATTTGAATTCAGTTCACTTACATTTTCAATCAATAAAATGTGTGCACTGGAGATTCAGGATGGAGTCTGAAATCCATACTCTTTCTTTCTTTCAGAGAATAAGGACACTCAAAGGTTCTAAAAATAATTCACAGTACGTTGGTAAGGGGGTCAGAGCTTTCTCACTTCTGCTTTCTGATGAGCGGCTGGGTCTGCAGCAGGCTTCTAGAAGCACAGAGAGCCATTTTCTCTTCCTCTTTCACAGCAGCATCTTGTTGTATGATTCCGGGCAGTGACTCCCTCACAGCATCTGGTCAGGCTCTGCATCTTTAGAGTAGATCCCAGGAATCTTCAGCTTTAAATTTAAATTTAAATTTCTTTCATGTTTCCCTGAAATCCTACATTGGCTCCCCTTCCCACCACTAACAAGTGCAGAACTAATCTCTATTAGGTGTTCATTCTTTGGGTGGCTGTGCATTATTTTTAGACTTTTGCCAAAGGAGAAGCCTCTTCTACAGGGAAGATGGGGCATAGCAAGAATTTATGCAGATTCATATTTTACACAAGACAGAATCATTTTCATTGCTTTTCCTCTTTTTTAGTCAGTCTGAGCTTGTATTTCCAAAAGTCCATCTCATTTCCTAGTTCTTTGCTCTGTTAGCATACAAAGAATGTCTAATTTTCTTTCTCCTATTTCCATTTGCTAAATTCCCATTCTACAATGATTTCTTCCCCTCAGCTCTCCCATGTATTTTTCATACATTTCTCTCACTCTCCAAAGCCTACCTTGGATTTTCCTTTGCTTCCTCTTATCTTGCTACACCGAAGCCATGACAGGAATAGGCTACCTCTGTAATGTCTTACCTCTGTAATGCAGTGAAAATCTCCATGGCAGCTGTGCTCCTGGATAACACACAAGGTCCCAAATGATGCTTTATATTCTGTTCGCCCTGTGCTCAGGATCTCACTAAGCGAATGTGAGCTTTTATCAGTGAGTTCTTTAACAACCTACGCAAAGTAAATGTTTTTACTTTCACACTCCCAACTTCTATAAAATTAACAAAAGGAAGGAATAGCATAGGCTTAGTAGCAATAAACAAATTATCTCCTCATTTGGCCAGTCAAAATGTTTGGCCCATGTTGCTGAGTCCTCCTGCTCAGCTGCCTGAGGCCCCACTCTTCCCCTGGGGGCCTCCTGACTTCCTTAACCAGCAGGGACCAAGCAGGAAGCTCACAGAAAACTCCCAGCAAACAGGAAGCTGCAGTGCCACCAGGTGAAATGAAGACAAAGCCACAGGAAAAGCTCAATGCCAGATTTCTCTCATCTACCCAAAGATGTTCTGTATTTTAACTACACAACTCAGAATTTTCTGTGTCTAATGCACAGGTCATAGATATCATCTGCTCCACGCTGTCACCCAAGGAAAGAATTCTGTTTGCAACATTCCTGAAGTTCAATCTAATCTCCACTGGACTATTTCTAGAAGGCCTGGGGGGACAATGTGAAAGAGTCAAGTTCCTCTTTCACATTTCATTTTTGTCTCCTCTTTTGCAACTTAAACTGCCTTGGCCTCTTCCCTTATTCCCAATTTAACACATCTTGTAAGGCCTTCACCGTCTTAGCTGTTCTACTTGAGTTTTAAAGCTGTTTTCAAAATCAGTACAATGTTATGAATGTATTATTTTCTCATCATGGAAGGCAAATGCCACGGGGAGTATGAGTGAATATTTAGGGTTCTTCATTACATATTAAAATGTATATTAGTCATTATTTTGCTTTTTAACTTTTCATAATTTATTAGACAGGAATAGGAGGCATCTTTTTTTTTTTATAAATTCAAAGCATACTTTATAAATACCAAATTATTTTTCAGATTATTTTTTAATTTTGCATGATACCATTCCTGAAAAGAATCATCATCAAGAACTGAACAGCAATGAAAATTCAAGAAGGATGGGAGGAAAATGCATATTAAAATACTTAAAAATCTCAGTGACACAATAAGCCGGATATTAAGGAGGATCACACTGAGAATAGCTAGACATGGGAAGCAAATTTTAAAATTTTTATTATGTGTCCATAGGGGAAATATAGCCTATTAGTAGATATTAAAGAAAATGGTAAGCTCAGGCCAGTGCACTGCTTCCTGTATTGAGTGATCAAATATGAGACACTATGGGATTATTACATTTTGGAAGTACTGCCTAGCAGACTGAAAAGAGGCAAAATGGAAGGTAAGGAGAAAAGAAAAGAAAAGAGGGGTTAAATAAGTGACTCAGGAAACTAAACCTATTTATCTCAAATAACTAAAATTTCTCCAAGGGAATAGCAAAAAATGATAGTTTCATTTTCAAATCCATTGATACTATTTGTTGTGTAGAAACTGTGATGATTTACACAGCAATTACCTTTCCTATCCGTATTATCAGATGTGCTATGGTCTGACAGTATACATGGGATAATTTCAATTCCTTTTCATTTACTTAAACATATTCTATGCACTAGTATATGGTCTATTTTAGAGAACGCCCCATGTGCAGCTGAGAAGAATGTGTGTATTTGCAAAAAAAGAATATAGTGTATGTACCCTCAAAACAAGACTTAAGAGACATGAACTTACACTCAAATCTACCACTGTGTATGCAGAAATACAAAGAATTGGTCTTTCCTGATGTGAGTAAGCCTAGTTTGCTGTGGGCAAAGAGAGTTATTTTTGTGCTGTTTTGTTTTGTGCTGTTTAGTTTTGTTTTGTTTTCCAGGAGATAGCATCTGTTAAGACACTTTTTAAAAAGGAAACAAACACTTTTACAGGTTTACCAGAGACCACATACATAGCTATCTTTCCTGAATTGAATACAGCAGCAGATAAAAAGGAGAAACTAACTAATAGGTCATTTTACTGTTACAGTATTCTCTTTCCTTTCTCCACCACTGTGCATTCCATTTACAAGTTGTTTTCTTTGTTGAGTCAAGAAAAACAGACAAATTAAATATGATTATTTGCCAGTGTTCTCCCAGCTTGGCATCCCAAAGGTTTGAAGCTGTTAGCTAATTTATTTGGGATGGTACACCAGACTATCAACAAAATTTCTACTGTTTATAAATTTATTTTCAAGTTTGGTGTTTTTACCACCTTAACTGTTGCAGGTGGATTTCAACTGCAATGGAAGTTCCCTGTTGCATAAGACATTATACCTGATGTTCACTCTCTGAGGCTGCTCTGAATTAACACAAATGAGCAAAGACATATTTAACCAACAGAAAATCAATTGCTGGACATATTTGGAAAGCAATAAAAAAAGTTGCAATTTTTTCTTGTTTTTCTTCTTTTCTGGTCAAGTCTAAAAAGTTTGAAATAGTCAATATACATTCAGTTTACACCTACTATGTGTCCACAACTATAACCAGGCATTGCCAAAAATATGGCATTTGTAAAATATTAAAAAATAGTCCTTGCTCCTCCACAGTATAAAACTTAGCTGAAACAATTTAAAGAGCATGAAGGGGCCAGGAGAAAAGGAGTTCTCAGGAGGACCACATGTGGGAGTGAGATCTTGAACAATTAGGATTCCTGGAGAGTTAAAGAGAGGACTCTGGCCTTGGAGCAGCATGATTAAAAGTGTGAGAAAGGAAACGCTTTGAGAATTTCAGGAGCACGGAGCAGACCTAGGAGGAAGTGAGCAGAGAAAGCAATTAACATGTTTGAAGAGTTTCATCATTTCAATTCTATGAAAAGTTCAGCGTTTTTTCTCTTTAGGTCATGAATAGAGTTTTCAATTTTTTTTTCATTTATCTCAGGCTCTATGTTTTAAGACTGTTTTGAAGAGCAATTTTAGGTTCACAGTAAAACTGAGATAAAATTACAGTATTTCCCGTACATCTTCTGTCTCCACACATACATCCCCATTTTCAGTATCTTTCATTAAAGTGGTACATTTGTTACAGTTGATAGATCTACACAGATACATCATAATCATTGAAATCCATAGTTTACCTTACAATTCATTCTCATTGCAGAGAATCTATGGGTTTGAACAAAAGTATAAGGACATACAGTCACTATTATCATACCCTGCAGCGTATTTTCACTGTCCTAAAAATCCTCTGTGCTCCACCGGCTCTATTTTTTTTAATGCACAGATTTATTTTCCTATTCCTTTGTTTTTCTTTATTAAAAAACTACGTGATTGCCCTAAGGTCATATTTCTTAACATCTAAGTATGACTTCTTCACTGTAGAAACCACACAACATCAGAAAATCTTCACCACACAACCTCCTCTTATTGCTCAACCTAAAAATTGTGGAGTCAGGAGGAAGCAGGAATGCAGGATGACTGGGCTTACATTTTTTATTTATTGTTTTGGTAGCAATTTAGAAAGTATTTATTATTTATTAAGTGTTTTATACATAGTTAATGTTCTAAATAATTACTTAACTTCAACTGCATTGGAAAATAGAAATAGTGTCAATATCCACAGAGGGAAAACATAGTATGACTTCATTAAATTCTGGTAGCACCTGCGAAGAATCCTTCTCCCTTAACGCAGTAGACCTCTGAAGAGATTCCCTATGATTTTGTGTTCTCCTTTTGGTGTTTGCTATGGAAATTTCCCTGTAAAACTCCCATTCCACCAAGCCAAATTTCGTGTAAAGCTCTGAAGCAACCCAAAGACAAATAAAAGGAAGGAACTTAAAAAAAAAAAAGTAAGCACCCTTTATTGAGCATCTTGCATTTGTTAGCTCTGCCAAGAGATTTATCTGTATTATTTCATTTAATCCTTTCCACATCCTGTAATATAGACATTATAATACTTATTGTATAAATGGAGAAACCGAAGCTTAGAGTGCTTGAGTAATTTCCCCAAAGTACATTCTAGCAAGTAATAAAGCTAGGAGCTATGGCCCACCCTTAACCACTATGTACAGATCAATGTGGAACATAGAGAAAAGAGAAAAAGGAAGTTACAGGAGAATGTGAAATAATGCATGAGGAGAAACTGAAAAGATGGCACTAGTCTCAGAGTGACTCACGCAGCACTTGGAACAAAAAGAGTGGCTGAAAAAAGAACAGGATTAAAGAGCTTAGAACTGATGATAGATACCTACAAAGAAAGCGAAGAAGTGCTTGGGCTCATCTATAAATGTGAGCCCTTAAATTCAGTACTTTTATTATAAATGATCCATGTGGGATCATCTTTGCATGACTAGAAGCCAGCTGGGGAAAGTGATCTATTTTATACAACATATCCTCCCTCCTTAATAAGTATCTATTTCTTACAATAAAATGTCCACCTCTATATTTTTAGCATTTTACCTATCTATTTTATATTTATCACAAATTTAGCTTGTTCTCAACCTCAATCTAAAGAATAAAAAAATATGATATTATTTTATTTGGACTGTACAAAATTTGAATAAAACATTTTTGCCCCAAACTCCAATGAAATAACATATGAGCTAATTTAAGAAACCAAATGATCTCAAGAGAGAAATTGATGAGCTTCAGGTGGTTGAATTCTTCAAGCCATAATACATGTGTTTTACTCTCCTACGTCATAAATGTCATAGACAACACTTACCCAGAAAGAAAAACACACTTGGGATGGATTGTGCCTGCTTTAAATCAAACATAAAAAAAAAGAGAAAATGCATTGGTAAAGGACACTTTCTCAAAGAATCATGAAGCTTATTATAATTAACATTTTCTGTGGGTGAAAAGGAGAAAATAATCACATTCTTTTGCCGTAGTCAACATTTCCTTAAAAAATAAGAATCTCTCTTTTAGCGGGACTTTTGCTGTCAAGAAACAATGCCCTATGGGAATGCACATGTCTAGTCCTTGGTGCAAATGTGAGCATTTTGGTGAAAAAAGACAATTTAAATGCTATGCAAGATGTAATGACCTTGAGGGAACATGAAAGAGGTAGCCTCCCCGGAAGGGTCTACCTAAGGAAGATACAGAACTGAGGTGGGAAGAATGGAAATATTGTCTGAAGGGTTAGTAATTGTCCCCTGCTACTTAGGAAGGCTGTCTTCAAACCGTTCAAATTGATATAGTACTTATCACATGTTAGCTCTCTAAAACTGAATTAAAAAGTACTCTCCCACCTGACCTCTTTGAAACAAAGCATGTCTCCCTGTGTTGTTGCAAAAGCAAACAACACTCAAACACCAGGTGTTTCTCACTCAGAATACATAGGCTAGAGATTTTCTCATGCCTCTCCTCATTCTGTGGCTTCCCTTACGCTAACAGTGTCTCCCATTAGACAGTAAGCTAGTTGGAAGTTAGGAACCTCTACTTAAAACCAAAAGTCACCACTTAATAAACACTCACTATGACATTAGGCTATGAGTTTCTTGTGGTTTATGTTATTCAGCCCTGTCAAAACCCTATTAGGGGGGCTGGGGATTTAGCTCAGCGGCAAAAGCGCCTGCCTGGCAAGCGCAAGGTCGTGAGTTCGGTTCTCGGTACCGGAGAAAAACCAAAAAAAAACCCTATTAGGAACCACTACCATCCTCATTTTACAGATACAGATGCTGAAGATTAGAAAGATTAAATAAGATGCCCCTAAAATCTGATTCCAGTATAAATTACAAAGTATTTATTACATTAATTCTGAGGCATATTTTTTTTACATTTAAACATCTTTGAAATTGTTTGCATGTCTAAAACCAAAAGTCTACTATAACTAAAACTGGTGGCATTTGGGGCTTTGGTTTTGGC